ACTGCAGAAGCAGATGCTCAGTACTGTCTTATTCTAGGGATCTGGAGCTTCGGTCAGAAACTGAGACTAAAACAGCCCCGTTTTAACATGCTGTTATATGTATTTACCACACACATCACTTACAGCATTGCTTATAATAGGAAAAAATAACCTAAATGTCTAGAAAGCAAATTATGAACAACCATATGATCATCTGTATATGTCATTATCGGAAAAACTCTACATGATATATTATTAAATTTTTTAAAAAGCAGAGTGCAGAATACCATAGGATCCCATTTGTATGTGGGTGGTTTTAAGGGGACATTTTGTTATATACATGGTTGAGTCTGCACAGAGAAAATTCTGGGGAGTGAAATGGTAAGCAGACCTACTATTCACTGCATATATTTTTTACAATTTTTGAATTTTTACCATGATGCACTAGTTTTATCATCTTAAAACCTATTATTAAAAAAAAATAAAGATATGCATAGTGAGGTGCTCCTTTTTAGAAACCACTGCTTCTTGTTAAATTATGTTATATTAGTCACCATACAATACATTAGTGTTTGATGTAGTGTTCCATGATTCATTGTTTGCGTATAACATCCACTGTTCCGTGCAATGTTTATTTACAAAAACCAAATGCCTTCATTCAAACAACACAGAAAAATGAAAAGAAAAAAAGAAGATAGCTACAAAAAGTATCTATAAAGAAAAAAGTAGAAAATACATACCTAATAACATTTTTTAAAAATCCATTTCCCACCCACTCTGCCCTGCAAGATTACCAGTTTTAACAGTCATGTGTATATCTTCTTCTAGGTGTTTCTGTATGACTCTATAGCATATATAATTTTCCTTACACTAAAAATAGGATCAGACTATAAAAAATATTTTTTTCACTTATAAAATATACGTTGTACCTCCATCCCTGCCACACTACTCTTCCTCATCTTACTAGTTAACCTCTGTGTGTCCCCAACCTACATATAGTTTACTTGACCAAAACTTGAGACAGATGAGCTTCTAAGCAAAGCTGTAGTGGCCACCCTTACGCATGCACACTGTAACATCTCCACCATGACATCCCTTCGATAGGACTGCTGGGGCACTTAACATGGTGACAGACACTGCCAAAATTCCACGCAGCTCCTCTCCCTGCCACCCTTCACAACAAACCCTTCTTGGACAATGCCACAGCAACGTAAGCCACCTTCTGGATACCATGATAAACCACACCAAGAGACTCAAGACCTGCAGCCTGGGACTCATAGACCTCATGAGAGCTTGTCCATCAGGACATGACCATTCCTACAGCTATGTGACAGAAGAAGATGAAAGAATGATAAGGAGTGTTGTATTTCTATTACACAACCACAGATTAAATTTGGGATGAAAAGACAGAGTCTGTATCACCATCACTATGGTAAAACATGAATCACCCATGAAATGGCTTGCTTGCACTCAGCGGCTTTGAGCTATGCCTCAGACCCCTTGTGTTATCCCTGTCCACTCTCTTCTGCCCTTAGATAAGCCTATGGAAATTCTCCAACCTTATGGAAAAGTCAAGTCAATAACCAGGCCCGTGAGGATTCCAAACACCATGTAAGAAAGGAATGAAAGCCACTTGGTCTAAAGAAGAAAACAGCCCGGGAGTGGTGAGCGTACTCATCACAGATCTCAGAGGGCTATCTCGAAGATAGAAGAGCAGACTAAGTACAGAACAAGAATGAAAGTTTGGAACAACTGGCAGGCTGATTTTCAGGCTAGACCAGAGAGAACTTTCTAACCATTAAAACTGTCCAGAGCTTCTAAGGGAGGCCTTCACAACCACCTGGACTAGAGTCAATGCCATATTTGGAAGCCAAGAGAAAGAGGACAATGTGCATGGCAATAGGAACAGTACTGCCTAAAGAAGTCCAACTGGTTATCCCAAGGAGCCACGACTGTCTTTATTTTATTATTTTTTGTGAAATCCTCCTACCCCAAGATTCAGTCTATGATTTTCTAGCTCATAAACCTATTCTGATTAGAACATGAATAGGTTAGTCTCTCACAAAGATTTATATCAACCAAGCACAAAAAGATGGCTGTACAAACCAGAATGTCAATGCACTCATTTACATTCAGCCATCAGATAAACCAGAAACTCATTTGATGTTCCTCATCAAACTTCCTTCTCCTCTTGGCAGACAGACTCAATGGGAATAGTTGTGTCCATGGAATTTTAATTCTCAAAGTCTATCAGTCAAGACTTTGGCTTGACTGATAGACTTTGGCCAATGCCAAGATGGGCTCTGCCCAGACACTGTTGTGACTTCCCTCAATCCTCATTTGCATGGATGGCTTCAGAATGTTCTACTCCATCTTCTCAATCTTAAATACCTCAATCTTGTCATTGATAAGTCCTGCCAATCTAGGAGACTCTTTTTAAAGTGACTTTATAAATTTCTACTCTTATTAACTGCATTTGAGTTTCATGTCTCAAATCTCACAGGACAGATCTTTTTCTGGTAAAGAAAACATTACTTACGTAAGGGGAATAGAGGGAATTCTCCTGCACAGGCTGACTGAATATTGTACTGAGAAGCAGTATCAAGTGATAACTGAGAGCGCAGATTCCCCCAAGTGAATCCCAGTTCATCACTTACTATGTGACCTTGGACAAGTTATATAATCTCCCTTGCCTCAGCTTCCTCTTCTGCAAAGCAGGGACAATGATATCTGTTCATGAGGTTTGTGATGAGGATGAAATGAGTTAATGAATAAAGTCCTGGACTGAGTCTGTCTCATAGAATGGTTTGCCACCATGATTACCAGGCTCTGATATAAACTCTGCCTATATAATCCTCCCCATGAGACAAGTCGTATTCTTGTCTCCACTTTACCAATGAGAAAACAGAAGCTCAGCAATTCCAGACAGAAAGCTGGAATTGAAACTCAAGTCTCTCTCACCCTGAAGCCAGAACCCACTTGGTCACCCTCACCCTCATCTCACAGATGGTGGGACCACTTTTTTCTTCACTCGGGGCGGGGGCGGGGGGAAGCCTGGAGTCTACTTTCATCACCGCAGTCCATCCTTGAGCACAAACAATGGTCATGTTCTCTGCCTACGGTGAGGCCAGAGCTAGCTGATGAGAAGCGTAAGTTGTGCAATGTGAGCAGCTGCCTTGGCAGATGTGTCCACAGCTAAACACGACAGAGTTTCATTTCCAGAGTCAAGAGAAAAACACCTATCCCAAAACATTCTCCATGACCTTCTCAGAGGTAGATGGGCTGAAGCAACGGCCAGCCCTTCCTCTCTGCTGTTTTCTGCTATAAAAAACTGCCGAAAGTACAACTCTGCTAGCTCCCCATACAGCCACTGGCTCTGATCAAGTGTCCCTGGCCCCCCTGGGTTTACTGGACATTTGAACATGGTTCACTAAACCTATAAAAGAGAAAATATACCTAATGAACCTATAAAAGAGGAAAGGAGAGTCAATGACTTTAAAATTGAAGGCTCAGTTGGTTAAGCTACTGCCTTTGGCTCAGGTCATGATCCTGGAGTCCTGGGATCAATACTGCATTGTGCTCCCAGCTCCATGGGGAGTCTGCTTCTCTCTCTGACCTTCTCCCCTCTCATGCTCTCTCTCACTCTCTCTCAAACAAATAAATAAAATCTTAAAAAAAAAAAATTGGGGGCACCTGGGTGGCTCAGTCATTAAGTGTCTCTCTTTGGCTCAGGTCATTATCCCAGGGTCCTGGGATCCAGACCCCCATCGGGTTCCCTGCTTGGCAGGAAGCCTGCTTCTCCCTCTCTCTCTGCTGCTCCCCTGCTTGTGTTCCCTCTCTCACTGTGTGTCTCTCTGTCAAATAAATAAATAAAATCTTAAAAAAAAAAAATTTGAAGGCCCCAGAAGGAACGCTCATCCATTGAAAGCAGGTCCGTACAGGAGGAGAGCTGTGTAGATGGACAAGTCGGAATTTCAAGCTGTCCTTAACATTGTTGTATGACTTTAAGCAAGGCATTCAACCTCTATGACTTCTGTTTCCTCTCTTTCAGAATGGAAGAATCTCTACCTTGCAGGTTTATTGTGACAAAGGGCAAATGTACATAAAATGCTGGGACTGTTATTATAGAGATATAAAGAACCTCCATGAACCTAGGACAACCAGACTAGGATGGATAGAATTATTTTTCAAGGGACCAAGAAAGCTAAACATTGAAATTCTTATATATGTAAGTTAACTGCAAAGGGAAGAGAGAAAAGGAACAAATATTTTTAGTACCTACTACAGGCCAGAGATCTCATTAGGCTCTTTACCTACACTAAATCTCACAAATCCCATGTGGCAGATTTTATTACCCTCATTTCACAGAGAATGAAACTGATCATAGGAGAGGCTTTACAAGACCACATAGCTAGTGTGTGTATGCTGAGGCCGGGAAGGGCTTCCTGACCCCATCCAGACTTCTTTCTGGTCCATCATTCTACATCTGCTTCCAAAGTGAAAACTCCAGGAACTCCCTGGAGAAGAATAATGCTTGACATTTATAGAGTAGCCCAGAGCACTGCTTCTCAAAGCATCTTTGGGGAGAACCCACTTTGTTTTGTCTTGTTTTAATTCATTAATGTATCACAGACTATGACATTTGTGAAACATAATAGAAATAAATTACTAAAAATGTAAAATTTTAAAGGACATACAAAAATACTCAACTTTTTTTTTCTCCATTAGATTCAACATACACAACATTCCTCTGTCAAATTCTTGTAAAATTTCTCTAGGATTTGCTCTCAGTTTTGTATCTCACCATGGACCAGCCTTGTGGACCACATTTTGACTAGTACTGTCCTACAGTTAAAGCCATCCACATATCCCAGAGAGAGATCTCAAAAAGTCCTCTAGGTTTGCCTCCTGTTTCCAGTCAAGGTTATGGGAAATCCCCAATGCTGCTGGGCTCTCTTTCCTTCTTAACAGCATCTGTTGAAAGCGTCACCCCAGCAGGGAAGGCATAAATCACCCCATACATGGTTTGCTGCCTGTTGTACCAGGGCGACGTGGTTCCTGAAGATGTCGATGTTGCCATTGCCACCATCAAGACCAAGCATACCATCCAGTTTGTGGACTGGTGTCCCACTAGCTTCAAAGTGGGCATTAATTACCAGCCTCCCACTGTGGTACCTGGTGGAGACCTGGCCAAAGTACAGCGAGCTGGGTGCATGCTGAGCAACACCACAGCCACTGCAAAGGCCTGGGCTCGCCTGGCCCACAAGTTTGACCCGATATATGCCAAGTGTGCCTTTGTTCACGGGTATGTGGGTGAGGGCATGGAGGAAGGAGAGTTTTCTGAGGCCCGTGAAGATATGGCTGCCCTTAAGAAGGATTATGAGGAGGCTGGAGTGGATAGTGCAGAGGGAGAGGATGAGGATAAAGAGTATTAACCTGCTATGATTTTACACTCTGTTGTCTTGGGACTGTCTCATTTCTTTTTTTTTTTTTTCTTTTCATTAAACAAATTTGTAGCTTATTTAGCTTTTTAGTATGGCTGTTCCAAAATTCAACTCAAACAGAAGCCTAGAGGCCGCAGTAACATCAGGGGAAGTCACCTCTGTCCAGTCTGGATCAGAACGTTGAATCCTGAGGTTTATCTGAAGCTTCTGATTCAGCCCTCATCCCTTCTCCCCTAGTGTTCACACCCTGCTCCCATACACTATGTTTTCCCCTCACTGTCTGCTCTCCTCTGTAAACACCTGGCCATTGTCAGTTCTCCTCGGGCCACGCAGAGGCAGGAGGTAGAGTCACTGAGCAGGTAAGGGAGGCAGGACAGGTGGAGAAGAAAATCCACAGTCACTACCTACTTAGGTTTTCAGGGCTCAGCCCTGCATGTATTAGCTCTCATTATCTTCATGACACCATCTGAGGCTAATATCATTGTCCCAATTTTACAGATAAGATTTGAAGATCAGACAAATGTTGGAAGCAGGGATTGGGAATCAGATCTATCTGAGATTTGCCAGCCTAAGCCCTTAACTCCTACAGTGCAATGCCTAGCAGAAGGGAGAGCAGAAGCCGCTCTCAAGGTACCACCACGGCCAGCCTCAAGCTCCATGCCCTCCAGGGTCCTAAGCGAGCCACACCTGCAAGGCCCACAGTGCCTATTTGCTCTCACGTGGCCAGATAGCAACAAATATGCCAATAGCACTCCCTCACTACCATCCCCTAACATCCAGGGGCAAATTAGGAAAGGTGTCCTCCCTCGGTCCCCTGGCTCCATATTGCGTAACTTAAAGCAGAGACCCAGAGGAATTTTTTGAAGTTTCCCCTTTGCTTGCTCACCCCAACTCACCCTTCAGGGCCCACCCAGTCTCCTCAGCCCCACACAGACACCACCCTGACCTCTTATCCTCAGGCTGGATGGGGCACCCCACTCTGCAACAGTGATGGCAACCGTCCGCTGCACGCCTGCTCATATAATTTCCAGAGTCTCTCTGTATCTTACCTCACTGCATTTTTACAACAGCCCTTTGAGGAAAGGTTCATTACCCCTGTTTCCACAGAAGGTAATCGAGGCTCAGAGAACTTAAGTAACTTACACAAAGTCAAAGAGATAGTAGGGAACAGAGATGTGATTGGAACTGAGGTCCCTCCATTGCAGGGCACTGCCACCTATCAGGACAGATTCACAAAGAATTCAGCACATGGAAGGTCTCAATAAATAATTCCCTGACAACTACCAAAATCAGAAGCAGTGGACAAAACAGGAAATAGGTTAACATTTTTATGGCAGATCAGATCACGAATTCTGCTTGACCATGCAAAATGATATTATAGAATAGCTACTGGCATGGAAAGATGTTCTGTCTGTTGAATGAGCAAGGCAGGCTACAGAAAGGTACAGCCTAATCCTATTCAATATACCTACTACCTAGCCATATAGCTAGGTATACACACACACACACACACACACACACACCCCTTCAAAAAAAAATACAACAAATGTCAACAATGGGCAAATCTTTGTGATGAAATTGGGAGTGGCCTGTATTATTATTTTTTCAATCTACATTTTCTAAAGTTTTCACACTAACTACGGCCTCCCTAGCCTTGAAAGAGCATACCTGAACACAACTGTAGGGACCACATTGAGAGACGGTGTGTGACAACAATAAGCACAAAAGGTTGTTTTATTTTGCCTTTTTTTTAATGTCCTGTGAGTGAGTTAAGATTATCTCGGTCTTTCATCACCACTAATCCAGAGCATTATTTATTCCAGAAGAGTCCAATGATTGAAATGTGGGAGGAATTAGGGTCTTCCAAAGCCAGAATTTTTAGTGATGCAAACTGAATTTGCTCAATGTTACCCATTGTTTATTTCTGTTGGATGCTCCTAGGCCCTGTTTATTTATGATGAATTTGTTTTCCTGATTGGCTGATAATGAGGGGAAAATCAGAGAAGCCAACCACCAGCTCTGTGCACTTTTATTATCCTCGATGTCACTATCACGAAAGGCTTTGGGGTCTAGAGGTGCACAGTTGTCTCGAACCCAAGAAGTGAAGGAGTTGTTCCCTGGAGTGTAAGGGAGGCCCTGGAGCTCCACAGTTGACCTCCCCACCAGACCTTCCAACCAAGTTCTGTTATCCCCAGATGTGGACTTGTAGAAGGTCTCTTGCTAAGCTTACTGAGATTTTTACATGGTAATCATGTTTTCCAAACCCCAAATTGACTATGAGGGAGGTAGAATATTGAGAAAAACATAGCCTCTGGCATCAGAAACACCTGGATTGCCAGTCCACTCTCACTTACGAGCTGTGTGACTCTCCACCAGCCTCTTACCCTCTGCTGACTTCCACGTCCTCCCTATAAAATGGGGCAACACTGGGTTGCTCAGACCACTAACTCAGCTAAGCTGTGTGAGATGCTGTGGCCTTCCCCAGCTGTAGCCCAGTATCAGTAGGTTTTCAATCCACAGAAACTGTTGTTAGATGAGCTGGCTAAGGCTGGAAATGCCACTGGAATTTTTATTAACTGAGTTATTAACAAGTTGGAGGTTGTAGCCATAGGTGAAGATGAGGTGGCTTATCCCAAATTTACAGGACAGCTCTCAAAACGGAAGCCGGTTTTGAGGTATATGTCTCTGCCACCTCTTCGTTAAGCAGGTAAAAGAAAGTTACTGTGAGAAGTGTACAGATACACTCCACTCCTGTACCCTTCTTTACTCAGTCAACATCAAAAACTTCTTTCCATGTAGGTACCTTCTCTTCTACCACATCGTTTTTCATGGATGAGATATAATTCAGTAACTCACAGGACATTAAAGAAAGACAAAGGCAAAACAGAACAGCCTCTCTGCATGAGGCCCCGGGGTGATGTGCAGGCAGACTTGTCTAAGACGAGACAGGCCAGATGTGGCACGACACTCCCTCCTACACATGCTGCATGCCCACCGCTCAGCCAGAGCCCTCCCTCCGGCTGGCTCCTGAGCTATGCAGACAGCACTGGCCAAAGTTAGAGCCGTCGCATGGGGGCCCACTGTGAGGAAGAGGTTGCAAGGAGGAGTGAAATCATGATCTAAAATACGGCGGGTTTTTTTAAAGAACGACTGGGCAGGAGGGGAAGGAGGGGGGCTGGGAGATGGGTTGGTCAGGAAATGCCAGTTTAAAGTTAGCTCTGACCTATTAATCAGCAGCGGGGACAATGATGCAGGAGGGGCGGGAAGGCCGGACATGTGTTCGCGCCAGATTTATGGGCCCAGAACAAAGGGTGGCCTGCTCGTTTAGAGAGTCTCTTTCCCTTTTCCTCTGGCAAAACGAGGACATTGTTTGAAAAGCCAAAAAGAACAAATATTCTAAAGACTGAGGTCATTTCCAGAGATGCAACAGGTTCTGATGGGGATCCATACCCTTGCTGGGCGAAGAAGACTGTGCAAGGGAGCTCCGGAGTGGCAGGTGGGAGGACAGTGTAAAGCAGAGGCCACAGACCCCTTACCTGTGCTCTTGGAGGAGCTGGAACCCCTGCCTGGTGCCACTGCGAAGGCATCTGATGAGCCTACCTGAAGCCCCTCAGGATAAATCGGAAGACTTTGAGAAGGTCAGGCTGAAACAATCTGTCTCCTTCCTTCTCTGCTCTTGCAAGATTTTCTGGAAGGCTTTCCTAAGTGTGGGCTGCATAGGATGTCACGGCTCTCAGCTACCCTCACATCCAGGAGATGGTTGTGTTTCAGCGCGTTTTTCATTTCATCTGACAAGGCGAGAAGAGTCAAGTCAGAAGAGTAGGATAGGAAGAAAGGAAAATGGGCTCATTACAAAAACAGCCAACCAGGGGCACCTGGGTGGCTCAGTGGGTTAAAGCCTCTGTCTTCAGCTCAGGTCATGATCTCAGGGTTCTGGGATTGAGCCCCACAACAGGCTCTCTGCTCAGCTGGGAGTCTGCTTCCTCCTCCTTCTCTGCCTGCTTCTCTGCCTACTTTGTGATCTCTGTCTGTCAAATAAATAAATAAAACAAATCTTTAAAAACAAAAACAAAAACGGCCAACCCAATGGAGAGGGAATGATGACTCTGATTCTCCCAGTCTTTTAGGGTTTGAGAACCAACCAGCTGAGGCCTTACAGAGTCTAGCTCCCCATGGTCACCACCTTCGGTCAGATGCCGCTTGCCTCTCACATGGAGCTGCCAAAAGAGTATCCTTGACTCTTGCTTTGCTCTTCTCCCAGCTAGCCAGCGCACAGGATGAACTTCCTAAGCGAGACACATGACCGTCTCTTTCCTGGCTAAAAAGTGTTCGGTTACTCTGCATTTTCTTCAGAAGAGAGGTTCAGAAACCTCAGCCTGGTAACAGGATCCTTCCTGTTATGGTCCCACTTGCCTTTTTAGCTCACCTCCCATCTCTCTCCAAGTCCTACCATGTCCTTTAGCTCCAAAGAATTATTTTCTGTTCCCTGAACGCGGCATACCCCTCCTGGAAAAATTCTAGCCATTCTTTAAGACTGAGCTCCCTCCATGAAAGTAACCTCTCGTATGCCAAGACCCTACGCCACGTGCCCACTGTATCAACCACGTCTTTGTCTGAGGTCCCGTGCCTGTGTTCACACTAATAATAACAATAACAATAGTGGAGCACCTGGGTGGCTCAGTGGGTTAAAGCCTCTGCCTTCAGCTCAGATGATGATCCCAGGGTCCTGGGATCGAGCCCCGAGTCGGGCTCTCTGCTCAGTGGGGAGCCTGCCTCCCCCTCTCTCTCTGCCTGCCTCTCTGCCTACTTGTGATCTCTGTCAAATAAATAAATAAAATCTTTTAAATAAAATAACAATAGCAATAACAATAATAATATAGCCCTTGAAAAGACTACTCCACTTAATTGGGGGTCATTTAAAGGCTTGAACTCCATTGAATGACTTCCCAAATGAATGAATTAATGATGGCCTACTAGACAAGGTTACCCTT